GAGAGAGAACCAGATTTCTCCTTGAACATCAGAAAAACTCTCGATATTCCTCTCATAAATAGCCCTCCTCTTGTTCGAAAATTCAGCCACGCATCAAGCCACCAGAAGCCGTCCAAGCCCCATCGTCGGCGTTCAGTAGCCGGAGCCGTCGCGAGCCGCGAGCCCCTCAACCGAGAACGCAGGCCGCCCAGCAACCTCGACAGCCACAACCAGTTTCCAGTAGGCGACCACTTGCCACACCGAACGCCGCGAACGACCATCAGCCGCTGACGTGCAGCACCCTCCGACCAGCCACCGAGGAGATACGTTTGTGTCCAGATCCGACGAGAAACACCGCGCAGCAATACCAAAAAAAAAAGCCTCTGTTCGCAACAACCAAGGCGGCCTAGAGACATTGGGGACGACATCATCTTCTCGGCGTTTTACCGTGCGTCACCAACACCTGTCCGACGGCGAAGTCTCCGCGAACAGACACGCCTCGGGCCGCTCCCTGGCCATCGTCGTGATCTGAAGAAGGACCACAGTCAGTGGTCTGTTCGGGTTCGAACCATCACTGAGAACATCGCGGGACCTACGAACAGCAACTCCACGGCCACAGCACGACCAGCCACTGCTCCCGTGAACGCCCCCGGACAGCGACCGCGAGCCGAGGCAAGTCCCCGTTTGCTTCCGTTCAGCCGCCACGAACTGTGATCTCACAGTGTGCCGATACGAACCGTCCAAGGTCTACCGTGCACCCACCGGGCAGCAGCGGCGGAGACGAGCCGACCACGCTTAGCCCGAGCACCAACGAGCCTGTCCGTGGTCTGTGGGCGAGTGGCTGAGGTCCTTTTTGTTACGTGTAATTTCCCAACGAGAGGTGAATTTCGTAAATCCCCTCTTGTTAATTCGTGAATTTAGACCCCTGTTTTGGCCGAGGTTAAATGAGTTTTTGCAGCATGTTTATGTGCTTATTTGAGAATCCTGTTTTGACATATTACTAAGCCTTATGCTATGAGGTGATTATGAGGCTGAAAATGAATAAATGTTAGTATTTGAAATCAGTTATTTGGCCTTGGCATATGAGATGGTTGCTTGAGAAACAAAATGTGATTTTGAGGCATATTAGCGTTGATTGCTTTAGCCCTTCTTTTGAATTATGTGCTGAGTTGACTTCTAGGTAATAGCATGATGAAATGGATCTTTTGAGAGCCTTGGTATCAGTTTGGTTGGCCTATATGTGTACTTGTTTTTGGAGACAGATAGAAATTTTTTGAAGTTTACAATTGTTATGATAGCCGATTTTGTGCTTTATTTGATGAGTCCTCTAGATGTCAAGTGAAGTGTGTTTAGAGCCTTTTCCCCAGCTATTTAGCTATTTGTCCCTTGAATGTTGTTGATTCCAGACATGGGAAAAGAAAGTGAAATCGGGGCATTTTGGTGTGGATGCCGTATGTTATACTTATTCACTGAACTGAATGTATGCTGTTAGCATGAATTTATGGATGTTCCTTAGAGTTTATATTATACCTCAGTTCTTAAAGCCTTTATGCATGCTAATTGAGTTTAGAAAAGAAAAGAGACTTAAAGGCATGTTTATGTGATTTTTTTTTTTTTTGGTACCATAAGTTTGCCTAGGTTGTTGTATGTGTATTTTAGAGCCTTTGTTCTAGTTGTTGCGTGGTTATGTGCCGCTCTTAAACTTAGTGAAAAGAGAAGCAATATCATTTGTTTTGTATGCTTTATTTGACTGCCTATTTTGCTAGACTTTATGTATATTTTAGGAGTTGTTATTATGTGTATT